AGAGAGAGAGAGAGAGAGAGAGAGAGAGAGAGAGAGAGAGAGAGAGAGAGAGAGATTATGGACAAATCTTGGCTTCTATACTTCAATTCAATACAATCCAATTCACCAAGCATTTATTAAGTGCCTACTCTATATGCAAGGCACTGTGCTGGGCAATGGAGATGCAAAGACAAAAACGAAATAGTCCTCACCCTCAGGAGCTTACATGCTGCTGGAATTGTTGCTAACCATTGGCGTTACATTGAGTAACTTTTAGGAAATCAGGTTTACCTGCTACACAAATTGGCTTAAAAACAGGCTCCCTGCTAGATTATCATGTTTATCAAATGTCCACAGAGACAATTCTGGAGAATTCACAGTTGATGATCAACTTTTCCTCATTCGAAAGCTTTGAGCACTACAGTCTGAGCTGTATACTTACATCATTTGAAAAAAATGCTTTAAGGGAAAGAAAACAACATGGAAATGGGTAATAGGGAAAAACAGTTGATTGTCCTGCTCTCTCCCCCAGTCGGTGACCTGCTAGTATGAAACAGTCACACAAAATACATAGCTTCTTGACAGGAAATCCCCTAGTCAGATCCAGCCCTCCAATGTACACAGAGGGTCAACATTCCTCTGATCCCGTACTCCCTAAATACCTAGACTTTCCAGTGACCTCAATGGGAGATTTATGCATGTGTGGAGAATAGAGCATCACTGTGGAAATTTGCACATGTTCAGAGAAATGAGCATTCACTATTCAAATTCTAAAAGAAACACCATTTTATTTCCCCTAGCATTAGGGTTATTTTTTTCCTTTTTAAAATGAAAATTAATGGATTCTTTTAAGCAATTCTTAATTTCCTGAATGAGAACACTGAATATTTTGCTGAGAACTACTTAAAATTTATATTTTCTGGTGATAGAATTGACTGGAAATCACATTATTATTTTAAATTATGTGAGATTAAGAAGCCAGTGTTCCATTAGCCTTTAAAAGTCTTTGTAGCCTTTAAAAGTCATTATCAATCAATTATAGTGATAGCAAAGTTTTATGACTATGGTGTAAACACTATCAAACTTTATCACATAAGTGCAGCAGGTTTATGTGACTTAAAATGACAGAATTAATATGCCTACCTAATCTGAAACAGTTAATGCCCAGTAACTGGAAGTACCAAACTGAAATCCCTCAGTCTTTATGCATTGCAAGAATCTAGTCTGGTCTGTGCTGAAGCATCCCAAGTGTCCCCCCCACCCCCGACACACACACACACCTCAATTTGTATGGGTAGTTGATCTCTTTCCCTTTCATGCTGTTTCCGAGTAGACCTAGGGTAGCATCCATTAAGGCATCCTGAGCCTGCCTGGGAACATGTTCTGTACTTGATCCCATGGGGGTGGTATAACTCTGAGGAGTAAACATCCCTTGAGTTTGAGCCAAGCTCCCTCTACCCATCATTCTTTGCCCTGAGACCCTATTCAAACATAAACCCCGACTTGATTCTAAAAAGGGGGGTTTATTGGCTCTAAAAGAAGCTTAGATCTATAAGGAGCAGACTCCAAGTGTTGGCTAGTACGTTCTTAGGATTCAAAAGGATCTCCATTTGAGGGGAGCCATGTGGAATGGTTGTCATTCAGGGCTGCCTGGTGATTGTTCTCTTCTGTCTCCATTCATTGTTAAATCATAGCATAGTCAGAAGGTCATTTAGTCCAATTCCCTCATCTTACCAATGAGAAAATAGGAGACCATAGTATGAAGTGAATTACCTAAGATCGTGCAGCTAGTAAGAGACAGAGCCAGGATTTGAACCCAGCTCCTCTGACTCAAAATCCAGCATCTGTACCATTGCACCATGCTCTTCTATGTGTAAAGTCCCTACATACAAATCAACTAAAAGTAGGCTACCTTTGTCAGAACATGGGAATCCACTGAACCTGATAGTTTGGACCAAGACATCCTAATGTGCATTGTACTTTGCACATGGACCCATGAATGACCCAAAACTCTGATGAATGCAATAGTATTCCCAAAGTTGTGTCTACAGTATCTGAAGAAGTTGGATTTTAAATCTTTAAGACATTAGTTCTGTGTAGAGAGAAATATTTTAAGTTATTGCTAATGTCTTCTTTATAATCTTCAATATGTATATTTGTATATTTGATTTTCATTTAATGAGTTTCCTTGACAGTGTCATGAAAAACACTTGTCTGATTGCAGCATTTCTTGCAATGTCGTAATTCTTGAATTCCATAATTCACTCAGCGTTTACACATGATAGTACTTTGTATCCACTAAGGGATTACAATATTTCATTAGATATTCTTTGCCAAAATCCTATCAAATGAAAGCTGAGAAGCACCAAGATGAACTAATTTGCCCAAGGTTTGGAGTAAATATGGCTTGTGTGGATAATTCCTCAAATGGAATATGGACAAGGA